CTGCAGGGCACCGAACACAGGCACGGATCAGCGCCTAAAAATCTCCTCACAACATGGCGAAGAGAGGACCCGGATTCGGTTTGCCTGATTGGTAGGGCTTGTAAGCACCTGTGGGCAACTCCAGCAAGCAGAGCAGAGTGTGTGCCGCGGGGCACTGAAGACAGGCGCGTATCAACACCAAAAAATAAAAAGAAAGGGGGAATTGTGGGGAGCAACTCGGACTAGACTGTTACTGGAATTAAGACTTATTCTATGCATCTGCTCTCCCACATTATGGCGCTGAGAAGGGAGTAACAACTTCTACGCAGCTGCCTCTCGCCAACTTGAGTGATGACCTGCAGGAGCTGATCCTGCTCCTGATTGGAGGAGAGCAGCATACTCGGCGTGTGGGTAGCAGAGTTGGGATTGGTGGAAGAGGACTATAAAGGAGGAGAGAGACAACATGCACCAGGAACATCTATCTGAAGGAACACCTGTGCAGCCCCCGAGAGAGCCGGCCGGCGGTGTGCCGCTCCCCTGCGGAAGTGGGGAAAGTGGCAGGGGGAACCGCCCTTCCACGGAGGTGGAAGGGTTGGTAGCCAACCTGGGAAGAACCAGCAGCAAACCCGGGGAGGGCCGAGCAGACCAAAGAACAGCGCAGGGTCCTGTGTCCTTCCTCCACGAAGAGGGGGAGCGACAATTCCCCAAATAGCTGCAACAGCTGGAGCTGTGCCAGACCTAACCCAGGTGCCTGTAGCCTCTTCTAGGGCTCCCACATGGGTGGCAGGGACCCAAGCACTTGGGCCATCCTCTGCTGCTTTCTCAAGCACATTAGCATGAAGCTATATCAGAAGCAGAGCAGCTGAGTCTGGAATTGGTGCCCAAATGGGTTGTTGGCATTGAAGTGGTGGCTTAACCTGCTACACCACAGTACTAGCCCATTTTTCTTAAGTTTAATAAAGTCACATTTTTATTTAATAATTATGGAGCAAGAAACTATTATGTATCAAGCAATGTGCTAGGTGATGAAGACAAGTGTAATCACTGCTGTTTGGAAGCTTCAATATCAGTGTATGAATGACACTCTCTATGTTGGAAGAGATTTCATTTTCTCAAATTATGAAATTTAAATACTACTTTGCAAATTTTATTAAAAGTCAGACACACAGGGGCTGGTTCTGTAGCACAGTAGGTTAATCTTCTGGCTGCTCATCTCCTGATCCAACTCTCTGCTATGGCCTGGGAAAGCAGTGGACAATGGCCAAAATGCTTGGGTGCCTGCACCCATGTGGGGGACAGGGAAGAAGCTCCTGGCTCCTGGCTTCGGACTGTTCCAGCTCCATCTGTTGCAGCCATTTGGGGAGTGAATGAGTGGATGGAAGACCTTTCTTTCTGTCTTTCCCTCTGTCTGTGACTCTGCTTCTCAAATAAATAAATAAAATAAATAAATGAATGAATAAAAAGAAGTCAGACACATAGGGAAAGAAAGAAAAATAATACCATATGCTCTTTAACAAATGGCATTGGTAAAAACTGGATAGTCACTTGTAATAGAGTGAATTTGGACCCTTCAGTCACACTATGCCCCTCCCCAAATAAAAACAGATTAAAGACTTAAATGGTAAGACTAGGAACTATAAAACTCGAAGAAGAAAACATAAACATAGGGAAAAAGCTACATTACATTGGTCTTAGCAGTGGTTTCATGGATATGACACTGCAGCCAGACAACAAAAACAAAAATAGTTAATAGGACTGCTCAAACTAAAAAAGCTTCAGTGGAGCAAAGGAAATAACAGTGAAAAGGCAACCCGCAGGATGGGAGAAAATATTTTTAAACCATATATATAACAAAGGGCTAATTTTCAAAATACATAAGGAACTCTTACAACTCAATAGCTTAAAAACCTAGTAATCCAACTTAAAAGTGTGTTAGACTTAAGACATAAATATTAGCCAACAGGTATATGAAAAGGTGCTCAGTTTCACCAATCATCAGGGAAATGCAAATTAAAAACACGGTGACCAATCACCTTATCTCTGTCAGGATTACTATTATAACACACACACACACAAAGACAACAACTGTTGGTAAAGGTGTGGTGAAATTGGAACTGTTTTACACTGTTGTTAAGAATATAAAATGGAAAAAAAAGAATATAAAATGGGACAATTACTAGGGAAAGCAGTATGGAGTTGCTTAAACAATTATAAATAGAACTACCATATAATCCAGCAATACCACCTCAGAGTATTTAATCCAAAGAACTGAAATCAGCATCTCAAACAGGTTCATTACAACATATTTCACAATAGCCAAGATGTAGAAACAATCTCAATGTCTAGCAACAGATGAATGGATTTTAAAAATGTGATATACATACATACATACATACATACATAAAACAGAGTATTATTCAGAAGGAGAAATACCACACGTATCTACTTACATGAAATATCTAAAACAGTCAAACCCATGGAGGCAAAGAATAGAATAGGGGTTGCCAGGAGTTGGAGAGAGGGAGATTTAGGGTGTTGCTAGTCAACAGGTATAGTTTTAATTATATAAGATGAGAAAATTCTAGGGCTATGCTGTACAAAAAAAGTACCCATAAATGTATTATTCACTTTAAAGTCTGTTAAGAAGGCAGTGCAAAGTGTTCTTACTAAAATAAAATTTTAAAAAATTTAAAAATCAAAATGTATACCTGAAAAAGATAAACTACCTTAACGTACATTATACCTCAATAAAACTAACAAAAGTATTTTTTAAAAAGAGAAATGTAGGGGCTGGCATTGTGGTATAGGTGTAAAGCTGCTGCCTGTGACACAAGCATCCAATATGGACACCCATTTGAATCCTGGCTGCTCCACTTCAATCCAGTGCCCTGCTAATGGCCTGGGAAAGGAAGCAGAAGATGGCCATGTGTTTGGGCCTCTACACCCATGTGGGAGACCCAGATGAAGCTCCTGGCTTTGGCCTGGATTAGCCTCAGCCATTGTGACCACTTGGGGAGTGAATTAGCAAATAGAAGATCGCTCTCTCTCTCTCTCTCTCTCTGTAACTTTTGTCTTTCAAATTAAAAATTCTTTTAAAACATAAAAGGAAAGAAACATAGATCAGTTGTATAGGAGGGCAAATATCTGAATTCTATGATTACCATTAAAGAGAAAAGCTAAAGGGAAGAATTTATCCAAAGAAATATAAAATAACTTTCCTATAATCAAGTTTGAAATTTATGTTTAAGAAATACTAAAACATTTAGGAAAAACTTCTTAGAAAAGACTGAAACTTTGACACATCACTTCAAAATTAAAGAACAAAAAGATAAAAAGACCTTAAAAACTTCCAGATAGAAAACAGACTATAATAACCCAAATAAAAAAGGTCACATTTACAGAATTAAAAAGGATTCCAACTAACATAGGCTAAATATTGATGGTGGAAGAGATAGAGCAATTTTTCTTACTTAGATGAAAATTCTGTACCCAACCAAATAGCCAGTCAGATATGAGAACAGTGAATTACTTTAGACATGAAGTGAATGAATAAAGTAGATCTACATAACAACTTTTCTTAGCAAGTTATTTGAGGATATACTCTAGAATACAAAATCAAAAATATGCAGACACAGCATGCAGGATGTAGTGGCTTTAGTCTAAGGAAAGGAGGAAAGAATCCTTATAACTTAGAATGCAGAACACAGAAGATGGGAATAGACCAACTTTACTCTTGTGTTCAGCCAATTTTTCAGTATTACCATTATCAGAAACCCTTACTATTATTGTCATTACTTCATGTGAATGTAGTTTAAGCATATCAGTTCCAAAGATCCTCACAGATCTTTTTGAGGGCATATACTGAACAAGTTTTCAAATATATCCTTTATTTCACTAACACTATCTCATCTTATTTCTTTCTTCCAAGAAACCAGTTGGAATCTTTCATCTACTGCTAATCACCTTCCCTTTACACTTTTCTTCACTGTACTTTTTTTTAAAGATTTATTTATTTATTTGAAAGTCAGAGTTTCACAGAGAGAGAGGAGAGCAGGGTGGGGGGGTCTTCCATCCGATGGTCCACTCCCCAATTGGCCGCAACGGCTGGAGCTGTTCTGATCCAAAGTCAGGAGCCAGAAGCCTCTTCCGGGTCTCTTACACAGGTACAGGGGCCCAAGGACTCCTACTGCTTTCCCAGACCATAGCAGAGAGTTGGATTGGAAGTAGAGCAGCCAGGTTTTGAACCGGCGTCCATATGGGATGCTGGTGCTTCAGGCCAGGGCGTTAACTGGCCCCAACAATCTGCTATTTTTAATGGCAGGAAAAATCACAATTTTCTGCTTTAAATCATAGCCACATCTTTCTTTCCATCCTCCTGATAGATATTATCTTAGATAATTCATCAAAATTATGTGATTTGAATAGACTAATTTAAATTTTTAAAAAAGAATATTACTGTCACATGGAGCTAGATTAGATTACATTAGTAAGCCATGGGTATGTATATTAGTCTTCTTCAAGCTAGGCATTCATTAAAAGGCTTTTTTTTATAGGGGCCAGCACTGTGGTACAGCAGGTTAAGTCACTGGCTGTGACATCAGCATCCTCAATTAGAGTGCCAGTTTGAGTACCAGCCAATTCTGCTCCTGCTAATGTGCGCAGGAAGACAGCAAAACATGGTCCAAGTGCTTATTATTAGGCCCTTGCCATTCATGAGGGATACTTGGATGGAATTCCAGGATGCTGGCTCTGGCCTGGCCCAGTTCTGGCTGTTGTGGCCATTTAGGGAACAATTCAGTGGATGGAAGATCTCCCTCTCTCACTCTGCATTTCAAATAAATAAATAAAATATTTTAAAAACTTTTTTTTGTAAACATTAAGTTTGATATAACACTTTGGGCTCAGTTGTAGATTGTGAAATCATACCTAAAGATCTCAAAATAAACAGGCTACTCACGAGGGTTTCCTGTAAATATAAAATCTTTCCCTCTCTCGGTCTTCATCCTTTTCATCCTTCTCAGAATCCTCACTGGTAGAAGACAAACTGTCATCCCGCCGGCCCTCCTCGGTTTGGAAAGGAATGCCTGGTGAAAAGCCTCCTGGAGTCTTGGGAGAACTGAACACTGAACATGAACCCTCACTATTTGATGAGAAATGGGATGGACCTTCAACAGTTACTGACAAAAGGTCCAACTCTGTCTCCTCTGGAAACTGTTAAAAAAAAAAAAGAAAGAAAGAAAACACAAATCAGGTATTTAAATCCCTTCTCAATTGCAAAGAGAAAATACATATATATATATATAAGTTTAAACATCTAAAAAATTCTCAGTTGAATTTCCTCACTCTGAACTGAAAGACTTATGAACAAATGAAATGGCACACCAAGAAAGGAAGCTGAGAGAGTCACAGTACTGACACACTAAAAATCATAGTGAAATTTTACTTTATATAAACACATATCATATTAGTACACACTATAATTCTTTACAGCAGATGACAATCATGTGGAAACACCAGAAACATGATCAACTGTACACCAGAAATGGCCAAAGCAATTAGTGATAGAAGAGCATGCAGCGTCAGTTCAGATACATTGCTATCTCATCATGCTTGGAGATGCCTTTTGTGCATGCATGATTCTTAAAATCAGCTCCTCACTGGTCAAGAGAAGATTTGTAAGCAGTTGAGTAAAAAAATAACGTATCAAGAATGTTGTATTTTAAGCCAAACTGTCTGCATAAACACCATGTGACTAGTTTAGAATTTCAATAGGAGGCCAAAAAAACATCAAAGCTGCCTAGGATGTAATTTCAATTCCTAGCTTTCCAAGCTGCTTGAGTATCTTTTGAGAATGATAAGCCTAAAGTATAATGTGCAAAGTAATGCAATTTAATGTTTAAAGTTACTAGTAATTACATAATTTTAAACATTTGGGGTGGTCTTCTGGCTTGGTAGTTAGGCCAGAAGTTGGGACACCCATCTCCCACACTGGAGTGCCTAGGTTTGAGTCCTGGCTCCTGGCTTCCATTTGGCCCATTTCTGGCTATTGTGGACATTTGCAGAGTGGACCAGTCATTAAGAACTTCATCTATCTCTTTCTGTTTCTCTACATTTCAAAAAAGGAAAAAAATCAAACATTTGCAGAATTCAGGTATTCTTTACTGTACACGTGGGGTCTTCAAAAAGTTCATGGAAAATGTATATTATGAAAAACTGCAAGGATTTCAAAAATTTTTTTACACCAAAATAAGCCTGCCTTTTAATTCCATTTTCTGCAAGCTTTTTGAAGTCCCCTTGTGTAATATCCATGCTACTGAATACAAATCAGACTTGTCAGAATACATCCAAATTTTTAATTTTATTTATTTACTTGAGAAGTAGAGTTTACATAGAGAGAGAGGAAGAGACAGAGAAAAAGGTCTTCTATCTGCTGGTTGACTCCCCATATGGCCAAAATGGCCAGGGCTGAGCCAATCTGAAGCTTGGAGCTAGGAGCTTCCTATGTGGAAGCAGTAGAAGATGGCCCAAGTCTTTGGACCCCTGCACCTGCATGGGAGACCTGGAAGAAGCTCCTGGCTCCTGGCTTCAGATCTGTGCAGCTCCTGCCGTTCTGGCCAATTGGGGAGTGAACCAGCAGATAGAAGACCTCTCTCTCTCTCTGCCTCTTTTCTATCTCTGTGTAACTCTGACTTTCAAATAAATAACTTTTTTTAAAAAAAAAGAATCACATAATCTGCAGAATGCATTCAATTCACATAAATTGTGACTTCTCAAGCTTTTCTGAGGAAAAAGAAATAAAACCCAGGTTGACTGAATTTAGAATAAATATGGGATATGTAGAGACTCAAGCATGAGAGAAAAGAGAATGTATTTGGAATTAGCACCTTTTTTAATGTAACTTGACAAAAAAGTTTTAAAGATTTTTACACCTGATATATGGTATTTTTAAAATTTATTTTTGTGACATATTTTGGGAAATATCTGGTTTATAAAATGTTAATTTGTAAGTGACTGTATAGCACATTTTACAACACTTGTCTGAAAATGAGAATAAGTACTAAAATGGATAGTTTTATCAATGGTCTTTTATATTAGTTATCCAAAGACGTAACATTTAGTGATTAATTTGTTAGTTGTGAGTTAAGTCTGATTCTGCTTTGTACTAGTTAAGTCATCTTTGTTTTTGAAAAGTTTCATTTTGAAGCTAAATGCAAGGAAAAAGGGATTATCAAATGCCTAGTAAATTGAAATTTGTGGTTTATAATTTAAATGAGTTGATTTGTTAAGCTGGTTTAGTTTCTTTTAATTTTGAAGATTAAAGTAATATTAAACTAGTTAGAGGTATAAAATTAAAATATATACATGCAGGAATTTATGAAATATACATAATGAAGAACTTAAACAGTCCTAAACATTTATGTAAACTTGAGTTTAGTTTGAAAAGAGAAGACATTTTGAAAGCAGATTTTCAAGGTGGTTAATTCATCTTGAAGCAATATTTATGTTGTTCTTAATAAGTACCTGGAAATACCCTTCCCCAGGACAGCTGGATTGTGGTGTACTTCCCCATACTGTATTTTTCAACTTAATTAAAATAACAGAAAAGAAAACAACTCATGAAAAATAAAAAAAAAAGCAATGGTTTAAAAGTAAACAAGTATACAAAAACCAAGAACATTTTAACATAAATTTTAACATTCTTTCAAGCTGATCATCCTTCCTCCCCAGTTATCTTTCTATCATGAACTAAAATATATAAGAAAGTTCAAACATTTCACATTTACAGTTGTGCAAAAGACATAGCTTAATGAGATTCTCACTTGAAAGAAAAATTGTTCAACAGAAACCTTTCTGCCTAAAAGCAAGCAACTTATGGAGTCCATTGTGCAGGTAAAACAGGAGCCTGCAGCATGGCTCTCAAATGATAGCATGAAGATTTACCCCATTACCTGGTCATGTTCAGACAATTCAACCATCATAATCCATACTTTTACTGTCCCAGAAATCAATTATTTGAAATTGTACAGTACCCTAAGTTTGCAATTTGTAAAAACTACTAGCAATAACAAATAATATCTCTCTTACTGTATCCTGGATATTAAAAGTTACTCTGGGTCCAGGAGATGCTGCATCCACACGGATTTCGGGAAGCTCTTCAGTTTCTCCTACTCGAGAACTGCAAGTAAAACAGAAAGTTATAACACATTAATATTCTCATTAAGAAAAGATCCTGAGACTTACTACAGGTCTGATTAATGACAGTGGCATTCTATTTCTAAAGATTTATCAAAGATTGAACTTGTACATTCCATTTCTTAACCTTGAGTATTCTGTAAAAAAAGATTCAATGTTTTCATGATCTCAAGATGTTCTGAAACTTACCCATATAAAAAAGAATTTATATTTCTTAGTTTATAGTGCTGAATTTTACTTTATTAATATATAAAATTTCTACCTTTTCAAACGTTAAGTTTGTGAACAATTCTACCTTTTCTAAACTGACCCAGAAAGAGCAGAATCTACTAAATATGCACATTTTCCTTTCTTTGAGCAGTCTCTAAGTTTACAAATAAAAATGCCTAAATAGCAGTAAATTCCATTACTAAAAAGGAAACACTTCATTCTGGTATGAATGTGATAGAAAAATTGCTCAAACTTCTAAGTGTGACAGTATCTACTCTGCGATTTTACTCAGAAGATCCATTTCTGCTATCTGAATTTTATAATTCTCCAATTAGATCATAATGAAAAAGTAGTAGACCTTAGTAAAATAGTTACAATGTCATTATATGTTGCAGTGGTAGAAATACCTATTACCTTGCTCTTTCCATTCGTTTTAGAGGTGGTCTTCCAGAAGCAGAAATGCTTTTTGATCGGCTATAGCTGGGTTTGTAACCCAAACCCCACTTATCCTTTAGGGAGGCAGCCTAATGAAATGAGAGAAAAAATTATTCCTTTTTGTTGTCATATTTCACTTAGATAAAAGAAAAATCATGCTATTAAATAAGTAAGCTTGTTTCCCCCCAAGTGGCTTTATTGTTGAAGGTTTATTTATTTATTTAAAAGGCAGAGTTACAGAGAGGCAGAGAGTAAAAGAGAGAGAGAGGTCTTCCATCCATTGGTTCATTCTCCAGATGGCCACAACGGCCAGAGCTACACTGATTCAAAGCCAGGATCCAGGAGCTTTTTCTAGGTCTCCCACACAGGTGTAGGGGCCCAAGGACTTGGGCCATCTTCCACTACTTTCCCAGGCCATTAGCAGAGAGCTGGATTGGAAGTGGAGCAGCTGGGACTCAAACCAGTGCCCACATGGGATGCTGGCACTGCAGGAAGTGGCTTTACACACTATGCCACAGTGCTGCCCCCTCTGCTCCAGGTGACTTTAAACATTACTTAACAATATAGGCAGATCAAAGTAGAGCAAAAAAAATCAGGTGGCCGTGCTATGAAAATATCAGCTACTAGCTGACCCAAGAGGAAAGGAGTGGGGCGCAGGGTGGTGCCTGCAGGAGTGAGGGGTATGAAACGAGGTGAGAAGAAACAAAATGAAAAGAAAAAGGGACAAACATCGTATGTTCTCCCAAATCAGTGACAACTAACCGAGCACCAAAAAGGAAACCTGTTAAAGTGAAATGGACACTATGAGAAACACTGACTTGATCAGCCCTTGTCCTGACTGTTGATGAACAACTTAATACTTTATCCCTTTTAGTATTTTTTGATCTACTTAATACTATTGGTTGAACTCTGTAATTAACACACAATTATTCTTAGGTGTTTAAATTTAACTAAAAAGTGATCCCTGTTAAATATAAGAGTGGGAATAGAGGGAGGAGAGGTACAATTTGGGACATGCTCAATCAGACTTGCCCCAAATGGTGGAGTTAGAAACATGCCAGGGAATTCTAATTCAATCCCATCAAGGTGGCATGGACCAATGCCATCTCACTAGTCCAAGTGATCAATTTCAGTTCACAATTGATCATAATGATAGGATTAAGAGTCAAAGGGATCACATAAACAAGACTAGTGTCTGCTAATACTAACTGATAGAATTAAAAAGGAGAGAATGATCCAACATGGGAAGCAGGATACATAACAGACTCATAGAATGGCAGATGTTCTAAACAGCACTCTGGCCTCAGAATCAGCCCTTAAGGCATTCAGACCTGGCTGAAGAGTCCATGAGAGTATTTTAGGCATGGAAAGCCAAGACACTCTGGCAAAAAACAAAACAAAACAAAACAAAAA